CCCCCCCCCCCCCTCTTTAACGCCTCTCTCATCTGCATAACACCCGTGGAGCGTGACGACGGCTTCTCTTCTCTCCCCGTGTGGTGAGGTACGCACGACCAGCCAAGCCACCCTTACGGCACACAAACAAACGAAAAAATACACATACCCGAAGTAAAAAACAAAGAGGGGATCGTTTTTGGGCCGAAAAAAAAGAGGGGACCGTTTTTTTTTTTTTTCCTCGCTGCTCTTGGTGGACGTCCGTCTCGTCCAGGGGGTCGAAATATCATGCAATCCGCAGCGATCACCGCACAAACACCTCAACGAACGCGTGTGCCTACCAATGGGCGGGGGAAAGAAAAACGCGGGGCAATCAAACGTGCCTGCTGCCTCGCTCGAATCGACCATTGGCTTCGAACAACGCATGGTACATGGACGTGGGACTCCGAAAATCAACGCAAACGCTGGCTCCGATATCGCCTTGATCGTTTTCCCTCGAGATATTCCCCCACCTCTCCTAGAACGAAGGAAAAAAACGAAACCACGTGTACTTGTATCCACCATCAAAGTGTTGGGGACATATCCCCGAGCAAAGAGTTACGTGTTGACGTCGCCTGGGCACAACAAGCGCATACGATGACGGTGCAGAGCAGCCACAGAGTCTCCTGAGTCCCGACAACAGCCAACAGCGCGAAGGGCTGCATAATGTGATCTGTATCTCGGGGGAAGGGGGGGTTCCGCCACTGAGCACTGGAGAGGGGGGGGGGGGTCCCAAGCCTACGTAGTCGTCCCGACAAGAATCTGCACAACACGAAACGGACAAAGAAAAGCTTAGGACAAACAATACTACAGGCCTGCGGACAGGGCTTATCGTGACCAGGCACGACAACCACCCGCGGGGGGTAAATCGGTAGTTGCAGGTGTGGGAGCGTTCTCCGGTCGAGCAAGACATGTTTTGCAGCCGCGGTGGAAAAAGCGTTTTATTTACAAGGGGGGCACGCCAAATTCCACAGGGTGTGTGTGTGCGAATAGTCCCGCAGGACAGCCGCCCACCCGCCCCGCTATCGGAGGGCAGAGCCGTGGCCGGTGGCGTTTTTCGCCCTCTGTTTTTTGCCGCCAGCTTGGCGCCCGTGGTCCGCTTTTACCAGCGGCTACCACCGCCAGCGAACGGGGCGTTGTCGGCACCCCACCCGATGATGCTGCTCGACCCGCAGCGCTGCTCCGCCCCGCCGAACCGACCGGACGACGACAACCCATAGTAGCCGTCGCCGCTACGGCTTTCCAGGGTCACGGCGCACCTCTCCAGGATGAACTTACCCTCCTTGTACTTCTGGCTCTTGTCCGCGGCTTCCTCCTGCAGCATGCAGAGGCGAGGAGGGTAAGCTCACCGCGCAGGCGATATAGTTGGCGTGGGGATGCTGATCCATGGACCACCACTTACTGCTATCTTACCGAGTTCTGTTCTTGCTCCAACATGACTGCAAGGACGTGACCTGGGGGGGGGATGGGGGTTCGTCTCCTGCGAAAGTGTAGCCGCGGCAAGCCTGTCAGCTCGCAAGCCATCCAGCAAAGCCCAGCCTAAGCGCCTCGTATGTGTATCTGCCAAACGCTGCCAGCACTCACGTATTTCCACCCTAGCTCCGCGCCGCACGCTTTGCAAGAGATGTCGGCAACGACGTGCATTCCGGTGAGGAGGCGACGGTCCTCCGGCCGCCCGATGGAGACGTTCACGCAGCGCTCGAACAGAAACGCTCGCCCACCGTGCCCTTGGAAACACTGCACGAAAATCGAGAAGTGAGCATGACAGAGAAAACAAGAGAGAGAGAGCGAGAAAGAGAGAGAGAGTGAGAGGGCAAGGCAGAGAGAGAGACAAGAATGAGTGAGTTAATGAGATGGACAGAGAGAGAGGGGGGGGGGGCGGGCGGAGAGAGACGGAGAGAGACAGAGAGAGACAGAGAGCACCAGGGTGAGGAAACGAGGACCAGAACATACACTTGCTTTTGGGTCGCACCGTGGAAACACTCATGTCACCGGAAGGAAGATTTTTTAGATATTACGGGTCCATACACTACTCGACTCCGCCGCAAAACACACAACGCCATGTACCACGTGTGCCCGGCAGCGAACAACGCACGCGCTTGGAGCACCGCCTCACCTCTGAGACTAGGTGGTCGCGGGTTGCAAGGTGGGCGCGGCACATGGAGCACGTGTACACCGAGTGTCCCCCCTCCAGGTACACCAGCTGAAAAGAATACGAAGTTGAGGGGGGTTGGGGGTGGGGGGGGGGGGTACTCATAGTCGTGCATGCCGTAGTCGTTAGACCATTGACCTCGCATCCCTACAAAGCCGGGACGGAGCACGCCGGGTTCTCACCGGACCAGGCTCTCACATCACCAAGCGCGAAGCGCCGTGAGATATTCGGCGAGTCGCATGAAGGGTGCGCTGCATCCTGCTAAGGGTGTTCGGCATCTTGTGCTTACTTCCTTGCGTACGGATGACAGCTGCGTATGACTTAATTTACCTTCTGGTGCTTTCACTTCCAGAGAGTTGTAAGCACTGTGGAACTGCCTCGAGGGTGCTTGACCAATTTAACACAACGTGGTGCGATCATCCCCCTTGCGCGGAGTGAGGGATCTTGATCCCGCACAACATGATCTACTCGACCACCACTATGGTTGCCGCCAAAAAAAACAGAGGTAAACAAAAAACGGTAACCAGGTTGCCGAGTTCACGAAGTGAATTGGCTTGTTTTACAACGNTTTAACACAACGTGGTGCGATCATCCCCCTTGCGCGGAGTGAGGGATCTTGATCCCGCACAACATGATCTACTCGACCACCACTATGGTTGCCGCCAAAAAAAACAGAGGTAAACAAAAAACGGTAACCAGGTTGCCGAGTTCACGAAGTGAATTGGCTTGTTTTACAACGTCGTTGCCAAGCCACGAAAACCCACCCCCGATGGCAAACACCGGGGGGGGGTTACGCAAATGCATGCGGAAGTCGCTAGATCCTTGACCTCGTATCCCTGCAATGCTGGGACGGAACGATGTGCCGGGTTTTCGCTGGCCCAGGCTACGTCTCACAAGGACGAAGCAGAATCCGGTCATCGTCCTTGCGCGTGCGGTAACAAACCAGATATGCCACGGGAGGTTACGCATCCCGGCTAACCGAATTTTCGGGGGTGGGGAGGGCGAGAGCGTTGATGGAAAACGGAAATCCAAATTCCAAAGCGACATCGAACGCGGTGCAAAAGCAGCACCGCTCAGCGGTGGAATTTTTCAATGACAGATACGAAGGAATGGCGAATGGCGTGCATCGGGTATGCCCTCAACCCTTCCTCAAAGTGCAAGGCAAGACATCAATCTCCGCAACATCAAGACCGGCGATGCGTCGGCAGGTAGCTGCGACGCACCGCACCCAAGGGCCCTCTCACTTTATTCGCCGAGCTCGCTTTGCCGGCAACGGACCCCGAAATCGGCACAACCGCCGCCGCCGCCCCCGCCGCCGCTCCCTCCTGCCTGTCGCCTGCCGCAACCTCTACGCTCGGCGCCACCGGCGGCGGTGGCGGCGGAAGCACTCGAACACCCTCAACCGCCCGGCTAGCCACCGCAACTCGTGAACGGTCGCCCACCCCCGACACCGCTGCGGGAAGAAGAGCCGAGGACGACGGCACCGACAACGAGGACGCGTTTCTCAGCCTGGTGCCGACCCCGCCCGGCGGCGGCGGCTGCCCCGCCGCCGCCGCCGCCGCCCTCGCCACGATAGCCGAGGAGGAAGAGGCGGCGTTTCGACGGGCTACGCGCCAAGGCGTCGGTGTCGACGGCGGGGGCACCCCCTCCACGGCCGCGATTCCCGACAGGGACGCCGGGAACGCCGACGCTCCCAACGACACGATGGAGGCCCAGAGTCCGCTGCTGCTGCTGCTGCTGCTGTTGGTTCGCGTGCTGATCGAAGAATGGGAGCCCCTTCCGCCTACCCTTGCCGCGTTTGACGGGAGGAAACCGCCACCGCTGCCGCTGCCGCCACCGAAGGGCGACGAGGCTCTGGATGCTGCCCTGGCAGTCGAAGACGACGACGACGATGCCCTGGAGAGAGAGGAGAGGCGGGGGCGAAGGGGGCGGCCTGCCGGGGCCTGGCGGAGCCCGGGGGCTCCGTGGATCGCCCGCCGTCGGTGCTGCTGCTGCTGCTGCTGCTGCTGCAGCGGCGGCGGCTGGCTCGAGCGGGAGCCGCTCAGGCTGCCGCCGTTTTCCGCTGAGGAAATAGCGCCCGCCATGACGGTTGAGTATCCTTTGGTCGTACCGTACGGGGCGCGCCTGGAAGACAATTCACGTCGAGAAATAAACAAAGGTCAGGGGGTGGTCGTGGTGGTGCCCTGAGGTGTGCACAGCCCCGCAAACGGCTCGTCAACCCACGAGTCATACAGAGGGAGACTGAGCTCGTGCGGGTTTCGACGCCAACGGTTGCTACTGCTGTTGTAGCTGTAGCATTTCCAAACACGTCAGCATGACAGCATGATAGCATGACATGACGCAAATACAGCAGTAGCGGTCCCCATGTGATGCCGGTTGCCCTGGCTGTGTAATGCGGGTGAAATCTCGTCACACAGACAGAATATTCAGGTTGTTTCATACACTGCGTGGCGCCGGCTGCCCGCTAGAATGCTGCTGAAATCAGCTGGATCGCACCGGCACTATCACGGACCAATACTGCACCCGCTCGAGACCGAGACTGGAGTACCCCATTCGAAGGAATGGATGTGTTAAAGTGTTGAAGAAAATGCAGTAGTGCTGCTACAGTTGTAAAAGTGGTAAACACCTAAAACCTCTTTGAAAGTGCTTCAACCTGTTGGCTCCAGTCACGTCTTGTTTTGAGTCCTTCCGCCCCCCAGTTGCCGAGGTCGTCACTTCTGACACCGAGTAATTCATTGGATTAAGTCTACACGTATGGTACACAAGAGGCCGGAGCTTAACCCCTCCGAAGGTCGGAAGCCCGACTTGTGTTCTTCCTGCTCAGGATGGAATCAAGGGATACCTACGCCTGCGAACCTTTTGGTCGTGACTAGATTTGAATAATCTACAGCGGTCGGATTGTGTTAACAAAATTAATGTCTTCTAAGTTACATATGCTACGCGTCCCCAAAACTGAAAAAAAACAAAAACAATTAAGTACATCTTCAGAGCAACCGTACCCGTCCAACGGCTGTGGTTGCTGTACAGAGCACATGGTGCCGGCGGTGGTGCATCACGTAGACAACCAATGCCTTCGGCGAGGAGGCGCATGGCACACACACGCACACAATGGTGACCTGTGGTCGAAAATACATGTACTTGAATATCCCTGCATTGCACGGGTGTTTTTTGTTTTTGTTTTTCTCCCATCATTGGACTCTGTCGTCTGCCCCTCTGGCCCCTATCCTCCACTTCTACTAGCTAGACGACCCAACCGGGGTCACGTAGGAGGGAGGGGTTGGACCCCCTCCTGCGGTTCATGCCCGAGGTATTTTTTATCGCGAGAAGGGTACAGCAATCCCTTCCCTCGCGACTCACGAAGTCGATTATGGATTACTAACAAACGAGCTTCCTTTGCAGCGCGTCGCTTTCATCCTAGACCAGGATTTATTTAGTGAGAAAAACACTCTCTCTGCCGGGACTCGAATCCATGACCTGCCCCTTAGCAGTCTGCGAGGCTACCCACTAGACCACCGGGGCGACCGGTGTGTGTGATGGAATATTTCTTCTGGTGCTTTCGCGCGGGTATGCGCGACATGCGCACCAGCGAAAACCCCACGAAAAATCATGGTCTATCCATCAGACAGGGCTCGTCAGTATCTCTTGACAACACTGCAGTGTACACTCATTCTATAGTAAGCAGTCGATATAACCCTCCGCTGCACCCATCAGTAGAACGCAAACTGATCCGAAAACGGTCAAGGGAGAGAGAGTTAGCCTCATCCTTTGAAACATTTTTATTTTTTCTGTTACCGCCTCATTGCATACAACAATAGGTACCTCAACCTGCTTGCATCATGCATTCGAGAAGAAAAAAGGTGAACGAGCCTTGGTCACGCCAGCAACCCCGAGACAAGAGAAAAATAAACGCCGGACTGCTATCCATATGATGCATGGCGGTAACGCTTGTATGGGTGTGTCGATAACGTAGCGAGAGGTGTCCAGCTCGGAAGGCGGGAAAACGACACGTGCGTGTTGATCAACGATTACAGCAGGGGGACGTTGAAAGTGATTGCCGTGTGTCAAAAAAAATTGTAGCAGACTTGCATGCAATCGTGTGCTGCAAACATCCACAACGGGGCCCTTGTTGCGCGGGCTGGGCTTGTGTGTGAGGGTGAAGCGCCAGAGAGGAACACCATGCTCCAAGAAACATCAACTTCCTGTGTATGTATGCGCGGTGAGAATACAGCGCGACGGTATCCTAGAGCAGCGCTACACTGTAAATAAGTAAATAAGAAGGTCTGCCAGACGGAGTGGTTGATCGGGGTATCCACAGCATTCATAAAACAAAAAAAACAGGAGCGAGCACAGAGAGCGTGCTGCGGAAAGTGCGGCTTGGTTCAGCAGCGCGGTGCGCGATGAAACTCAATAAACCCGAAACCGACGAGGTTTCTTGGCAATACTCGACTACACGCGAAGGCATACACAGGGAAGCCTCTCCCGCTGCCTTGCGCTACTAGCGTGCGCGGTGTTGCCGATGTGCGCCTCATCTCTCTCTCTTTTGAAAACTTTGAAAGATCGTCGTGGGATGTGTAGTCTATGTTGAACTCCCTGTCCTGGCGTCGACACGAGAGAAATCCGACCCAAACCTGATGCACAGCAGCACCGAGGAGACGCCATGAGATACCGGAGCCAGTGAAACAGAGAGGGCGAGCATAGAGCAGAGGTGTATTGTATAGCATACATGTATGTCTCGACTCTCTTCAAGACGACGCGCGTCACACTCACGACACGACTTTGCAGCGGCACCGCTGTACCCTCTTCTTCAGTCGCCCGAGAAAGCTTATAGTCACGCGAAGTGCGGCCGAAGATCCACGGTGAGGTCCACCCAGGCTCACTAGCCAAGGTTTCCTTGCCTTTTCACTGTTCGCCCGATGTCCTGGTCACTGGTTGCTGCCGTTAATTTGATGTCTAGAGACGGTAGGGCAACAAGTTTAGTTGAAGGAGAAAGAGACGGTGAGGGGCTCGGCAGATTGTTTTCAATAGCATGACCGACCCCTCCCCGCGAGCCTCGCCCTCCTCTGGTCCTCTGGCCTTGTGCAGGCATTGTCGCACAACACACAAACCGCCCGGTTCCCTGCTGTTGCAACTAGGATACACACTATGAAGGCAGCATCAGCACCCACGGCACTGCTTGCGCTGGCAGTTCACCTTGAACAATCCGCTGCTTTCGTAGCCCCCTGCAGCGGCGGGTTCCTGCGAAAAGGTGTTTCTACTCGCCAATGCTCGACAGCAACAGCAGTAGCGACCATGTCGCTCGACAACAACTCCGCTCGGTTAGCCCTGGGGACGTTTCTAGCGGGCGCCTCGGTGCTATTCTCGGGAGGGGAGGCCGCTCTGGCTGACGGATCGACGACGAAGTTTAGCCTCCCTCCCGTCAGTCAGGGCAGGGACAGGTGCATCATACACCCACCCTGCTGGGATGCAAAGTTTTTGTCGTTCATGTTTTGGGTCGATGGCGCCGGTCGTGTGTTTTCGCTCATGCGAGGGAGGTAGGTCAATGACACAGCCTGCCCCTGGTGTTGGCTATTGCTCGTTGCCGCAGGTGCCTGTTCAAGAGCAGTGCTATGGGACAGGCGAATGCCGCCAGGGATAAGCTGTACGACCTACGAGAGTGCGACATGAGGTGCGTGGAACCACGCTGGCTACTGCCGCAGTTCGGAATACGGTCACGTATCAGCTCCTGTCTTGTACAGAAGTGGCAGCAGCACACTTCAAGTAGTTGATTGAGACCGTCACATGTGTAGGGTTGGTATGTGCGTGTTTACCAAGCCGCGCAGCATGCAAGCAGTCTTGCACATTGTCTCTCTTGGCGCTTCTCGCAAACTACCAGTGATGTACTCGTTTGGATACGACTATTTCCTTGGGCGCGGTCTGTCACAGCAGACCAAACGCCACTCCTACGTACTCGTTCGGCAGGCTGATGCGGCGGGTTTTCCCGTGAAGAAAGAAACGAGAGGATGTCTCATGTTGGATCTTTCTCTCCACCAAGGAATCGTTTGCGTGGCATGTGGAAGCGTGGAAAAGAGTTCTGTCAACGCTCATCGTGGGTTGTCCTGCTGGAGGGGCTCTGATTCTCTTGCAACCTTCCGGGCGTTGTGTGTTGGTAGATCGGCAGACGTCGAGATCGACATTGATATATACATATATATATATATTTGTCTCCCATCATTGGACTCTATCGTCTGCCCCTCTGGCCCCTATTCTCCACTTCTACTAAATAGCTAGACGACCCAACCGGGGTCACATAGGAGGGGGGGGCTGGACCCCCTCCTGCGGTTCCTGCCTGAGGTATTTTTATCGCGAGAAGGGTACAGCAATCCCTTCCCTCGCGACTTACGAAGTCGAATATGGTTTACTAACAACGAGCTTTGCAACGGATCGCTTTCATCTTAGACCAGGATTTGTTAAGTGAGAAAAAACTCACTCTGCCGGGACTCGAACCCATGACCGGGCCCTTCGCAGGCTGCGAGGTTACCCACTAGACCACCGGGGCGATCGGATTTGATGTCTCGGCGACCGACTCTCTGTACCGCGTTTGCCCTCACGCAAGGAACGATGACTTTCCGTGTGCCTTTGTTTCCACGCGTTTGCTCTCATTTTTTCTAGCGGGAAATCGGCGGCCGGTTTCGACCTGAGCGGCGTCATCGCTTCTGAAGCAAACTTCTCCAAGGGCGACTTCAAGGAGGTCGTCATGTCCAAGGCGTACGCACGGGTGATTTATTTTGCGGATCAGGCAGCACCCTCTTAGTGGCCAGGCATCCGCTTTGTTCAGAGGTTCCATCGCATGTACATGCCACACGGTACATGCCACACGAGACAATTGCATGTACATGCCACACGAGACAATCTAACATTTCCAGTCTCCAATCGAGTGTATTGAATCAGCTTTGTCTGGCCATATTTCAGGATTTGTGGCGATCATCTTCCAAATACGCGCCGGCTGTTTCGAAGAACTGCCGTGTCCTGCAAAAGCATGAACACGTGCACATGATTTTGGTAGCCAAGATAGAGAAGGTTGTGTGCAAAGAACACCACCAACATCAGCAATTGATACCACGAAGCCCCGAGTTCCCGTAGACCATTTAACATGTGACTAGCATTGACAGAGTCGACACTATACATCGTACCAACACATTAGTGAATCAGGCGATAAGTTCAGGACACTCCTTGATAGCTGACACGGGTCAACTCACGGTTACCTACCTATCTGACCGGGAATCTCTACAGTACAGGTCCCTGTTTAGTGCCGGGGCATGCGCAAAAGTTCACCGGCACTATTCAAAGTACAGAACGACTTGATATTCCAGTGTGTGCGAGCCGAAAACACCGGCACTATACCGGCAACCGGCACTAAACAGGGACCTCAACTGTATCCCGTTCCGTTCTTTCTGCGCGGATCATGTTCTTGGTTCGGGACAATGGGCCCAGAGCTCCAACTGGGAAGACGCTGACTTCACTAACGCGGTCGTAGATAGAGTTTCTTTCGACGGCTCTTCCATGAAGGTACGAACCGGTTGGACCGAAAGTCGTTCCACACAATTGTCGCGGTTCGCAACGCTACGCCCTCGAGTAGGTTTGTTTTGCTGATTTCTCCAGGGCGGAAAGGTTGGCAAGTGATCGATTGCGTTAGCAGCAACATGCGTTTCAAAACGACGGTCAAGGATAGGCTTGTGCACACGCCAGACACGCCAACAAACCCGCGGTAGCATCGTCCAGTGACCCTTTCCCCGCCGGCATGCGGGTGCCGCCGGAGTCCACCGGTACTACGGCCGCTTGCCTTGTGATTCACAGGGCATATATATGCGGAACGCGAGGAGGATCACCCTTTAGAAAGCCCTGCTGAGCGTCTTGACGATTTGAGTGCGGCTTCTATTGATGTTAGAGTCGTGAAATCGAAACCCAGGCTGAACACTTGCGGTGCTTTTTTTCCCCCCAAGACCCTGGATACTCTTGGCCAACTCTTAGCCAGATTATTGGTGGCGAGTTGGATGGCGGAAAAAATCATCCGAGACCCTGGACGAGCAGAGAAAATTAAGCGAGCTTATCATTGAATGGATAGCGGTGTTGGAAAGGGGAGTTGCCCTCCTCGTCGTGAAAGTTTTCTTGTTCCTTGGTGCCTACTATTTCAGTCGTTGATGTCGTTTTCTTCTTGTTGCAAAGGGAGCGATTTTCCAGAACGCGGTTCTTACGAGCACGAGCTTCACGGGAGCGGACGTGGAAAATGCCGACTTCACGGAGGTACGAATAAGGCGCAATAGACATAACCCGTTGTGTTTCATCTATCCAATCAGCGCATGCATTGTTGTGAGGATTGAATGGTATGCTCTGGTACTTGTATTTGTGAAGGGCGACATCTAACCTTCTAGGCGTCTGGCAGATGTACTGAAGCAATGGGTCGTGGTCTGTGAGCCTTTTCGGGAGGAGTTGTGTGTAGGGTTCAACGTGTCCCGGTGGAAGTAAACCCGATGCGAGAATGATAGCGCTCCAATGGTTGCGTTGGTGAGTTGGCGTTACACACGATTTCCCATGAAATATTTATCTGATGACTTATGATTCGGGTACGGGTAAGGAATATCACTACGAATCGGTGTTGGGTATACTGTACTGCTATGATATGGGCTATTCCTTGATGGCGCTAGGTGTGTAAAGCCAGGCCACCTTTTACGTGTTGTAGGCCGGCGCGCCGGCGTTGTGTCTGCCCGACCCGTACAAGTATGAGTTAGAGAGCAAGAATGTTCTTGTTCCCGTGACTACTCCGGTTAGCTTGCAAACTCTAGGGGGTGCTGATGTGCGATCCCTGTACGTTTGATGTCCCATCTGGGGGGCACGCTAAGCAGTTCGGTGCGTAGCTGACAAACCAGCTGGGGTCACCCTGGAGACACTCGCTACATTTCTCTCTGGCTAATTGATAGTAGTTTTCGCAGATTATCCCTTCCTTATATTGTGTACTCATACCCCATGCGAATTTCACTTATTTGCTGAGAGTTATTTTTTCACTCCGGGGAGAGCCGGATGATAGCCTGAAGATTCCCAGGGAACCACGCACAGCCCACTGTTGTGTGACCAAGTAAAGACGTTTCCTGAATGAAACAGTAAGGCGAAGTCCAAGCCACCCCTTTCCATTAGAGATATTCACACATTATGGGTTGTTTACTCGTTTTTTGTTGTTTTTGCTCCCACGACTTGCACGCTTGAGTTCTTGTTGCATGTGAATTGTCATGCATTTTAGATCGGTGGGGGGAAACCAACCTCATGGCTTGACCCACCCGTTCTTCCTCACATCAACGTGGAAATTTCCTGGAATTTTCGCTGCAGGCGTACATGGGTGACTTCGACCAGAAGAACTTGTGCAAGAATCCTACCCTCAAGGGCACCAACCCCGTCACCAATGCGGATACGAGGGCCAGCGCTGGATGCCGAAGTCTATGAGCGCTGCAAGTGCCATCGATCTCAACATTAGTTTAGCGCGGTCCTGTACGCACGTGCTATCAGGTCCCGCCTTTTTTTCTCTCAGTAGAAGTGCTGTGAGGAGCAGCCTCTGCAATAGGATCCCGGCCGCCGGAGGTAACTCAGGGCAATAGCAGCAAGATCGTTTGTTCTTCGCGCTTGTCCCTTGAGTGTTCCCGCTTGTATGGAAGAGCGCCACGCTGTGATTATCGTGACGTTCTAGCGTGTAGGGTTCAAGGTTGCGAATGAAACACGTCGTTGGCTGGAAATATTTTGGCTCGCTATTCTCGTTCATGACTAGATTTGTTGCCCACTTCGGCTACTCGTAAGGCAGTGTGGACTGACGCTGCATTCAACGCAACATGCCTGCCTTTTTGCCAGTTTGCGGCACTTCTTTCGTGTAGTAAGCTTGGACGTGATGGCGTTTTGCAGAGCAGCAGACTTTTCTCCAAGGGTAGATTCGGGTTATGGGGTGAAATAGAGGCGATGATATGTCAAGTGTCACGAATAGAGCCCTGGTGTGCGGACAGGCGAACAAGAGCACCATGGAGAGAGCTCGTGTGAGGGAATAGCTCATCGAACACGCTCGCACATCACTGCTTGTCGCGGGGCGATAGTGGGCGCACCGCTTGCCGCAGCGGCGCGAGCCAAAAGTATCCGTTTTTCATTCAGTTCACTCCGAAGAGTACCTTGTTTTTTTTTTACCCGCCTTGCCGTGCACAGCGATGCCTCCTCCCACCTGGAGGCCACAGATTTCTGGGTGTTCGAAGTGTAGTTGATGTGGGACAACTCGGTCGACAGCTATAGCTGGAAGTCCAACGCAGTTTCTACCAACCTTCGTAGCATGACTCTACCATGCACGGGTTGTCGAGAAGTTGGGTTCGAAATGAACAAGTGCTAACCCTAGCCGAGTCATCTTACGGCGGGCCAGCAGTTCAATTGGAATTGGCCATGGTTGCATGATACTTCAAGGTAACGGGGAAGTGCGAAGATTTCACGGCGACAGAACCAGCAACGGAAAGGAGCCCCGTTTCACGAATGAATGAGCTTTTCGCTCTATTCTCATGCAATCCCAAGAGCTAAGTTGAAATTTACCTCGATCGTCCGAAGGATTTCTTCAAACGATTTCAGTCAAGAGTACGAGCGGTTGTCTCGGTACAAAAACGTACACCATCCATTCATTGTTTGCGAGACAGCTGCTCGGATCAAGGCATGTATGCGCATGTTGTGATCCTCGCAATCCTCATTACATCTTTTTCTCACAGGAACAAGCGTTGTTGGTGGGATTGTCCAGGATATTATTATGGCGATCAATGCACAGTTCGTTGCAGATGGTCTATGACATGTGTTTCAACTGGTCCTCGAGGAAGATGCAGGCATAAACTGTAGTGGTGTTGCTATCTGACCGTTACGATCTCTCTGCTCAGAAACTTCATATTTATGATGGAACATGCATATACTGTAGTAGTGATGATATCTCCTCAATGGGTCACAGGCTCACCAAGACTGCTCGATGGCCATCTTGTGTGTTGGGCTACGATTTTTGCAGGGAGAGGGGTTGAACAACGAATAATGTGGGAACGGATCTTAAGCCCTCCTCGACTCCAAAGGCCTGGTCGCACAGAGTGTCGTAGCCTGGTTCATGTGTACACAGCATGCATGTAGTGATGTGGCTACGATAGGGTTCTTCTGGTGATTCTTCTTGTGGTCTTTGAGGAAAGCACATCACACAAAGAAGGGCCCCGACTCATGAAAATGTGCTGAGAAGGTGGTCGCAGTGAAAAGTCACGACGAAGGCGAACACGCACGAAACGTCTAAGTATATGCCGAAAAGCAACAAAACTCAAATCCGACCACATTGACAAGCCTTTTTCATTGGTCAACAAGCGCGCGTGGTGGACACACATATTCCCACACCGCTTCGACCACCCAACTGATCCTTACACAAAGCATGGTGGCGAGCACGCGAAGCGTCGTCCTGGAAAGGAGGCCTGACCTGCCACTGTACGGCCTTCGAACTGTACGCCATCTTCGTGCCGGCAAGAACAACGACCACGACATTCGGCTCTTGCTTTCGACATCGGCGGGGAGGCTCCAGAAGAAACGTGACACGCAATCATTGCTTCAGACTCCAACCAAGGTCAGTTGGGTCAGCGGAGATGGATGGGACGCGCTCCGGTCCAATTGTTTACAATATACCGTTTTCATACGAGGGGCCATGATTCGTGCCAATTGAAGGCCCCATTTTTTAGCGAAGGGACGCAGCCCCGATCTAATCAAATGCGTGGTACCGCCTGCAATGTGAAGGGCTACAGCAAAAAATGCGCATCCCTGCGCTCGTTCACTACCTCCTGCACAGGTTCGCAGCAGCCAAGCCATGCCCCACCGAGATCGAATAGCGATCGGCAAGGCCATCGTCGATCGCCCCCGAAGGGACGACCATTGGGTCACTACGGATACGGCACCTCTCTCATTTGCAGCCGCCACGAAGGAGTTTCCTGCCAACAACAAATGTTTCAAGGTGTGTGCGCAACACCACTTCGAAGTACATACACCGGGTCGGACGCTCGTCGAGGAAGCTATGCCTTTCAGTATGTCATGTGTGGGTAGACTTTCGCGGTATGGCATTTCAAATATTCGCCTCTGTTCTTGGTTACTCCGACCAAAATTCATACTTGTAGTTGAATAGAGGCTCAGTAAATGAATATATCTAGCAGGCTGTCGAGACTGCGGCCCATTTCCCTCTAACATGAAATTTTCTTTCGTAGGTAGTCTCTCCTAAGACATCCAAAAGAGTTGATAAACGTATACTACAAAGGCCGCTCGCCATGTGACATATCTACGTGGGCATCACTATGCTGCTTTCACCTATCTGCACATGACGATTGAAGCACCCGCTCATACGAGGAGGCGGGACGGTAAAGGCAATCACTCCAGCAAAGGCTGTTCGGTGGGATGGCTCCCAGCAGGTACACTCGTGCACCTGGCGCACTCCGTGTATGAATAGAAAACAACTGCTGACGCTGGAAAGTATAATTTTACTATCAAACTCATACTGTTCTCTCCCCAGCTGGATAACAAGGAACGAAGATATACAAATAATACTCAAGTACTTACCTGAGTTGTGAAGGTTTTATGTGTGGGGATACAGGGACTGCAAAGTCGGCACCACACGGGCGGATGTGCAGTGTCCAACATGACTGCGCTGATTTCATTATCGCCAGAGCGACGGTGTCGCCCTTTTCCCTGCAAGCATTGTGTAATCACCTGTGAACTCATGAGGTTATTTTTCCAAGCTCAACATTCGACACAAACCCAGGCCCAGGCTAAAGCTGAGTCGGGATTGATCGGGACTTGGGAGCTCGCGTTGTTAGAATCCTACTATCGGTTGGCCACGGCAGAGTGCCAGGCAGAAAACCCGCCAAGAGCATCCACGCCTGATCCGGGGGGCGACCGACGATATAGGTGAGGTCGAGCGGGTAAATCGCGATCTATGTGGTGGCCAGAATTTCAACGCGGTGCATGACAATGTTGCCCGCAACAAGTGCACATCAAAGTGGACGGCCTGGTTGGGAGAGGGCATGCCGCCATATACTTTTTCCAGAGCCATATAGATTGTTCAAGTAGCTGTGGCGAGGACCACGTTGAATTTTTAGTAATCTTCGGTAAATAGAGGTTGCAACTCTGGGACATGCAAGGGCAGCGAGGAAGCGCAAAGATTCACAAATTTATGAACTCTTCCCGTTGCGAAGTGAACAAAAGCTCGGTAGTTGTTGCTGGGTGTACTCATAGGGGGGTGTACTCAAAGTCGTGCATGCCGTAGTCGCTAGACCATTGACCTCGCATCCCTACAANTAAGGGTGTTCGGCATCTTGTGCTTACTTCCTTGCGTACGGATGACACCTGCGTATGACTTAATTTATTTTGACTTAATTTATTTTCTGGTGCTTCCACTTCCAGCGACAGTTGAAAGCACTGTGTAACTGCCTCGAAGGTGCTTGACCATTTTAACACATGGTGCGATCATCCCCCTTGCGCGGAGTGAGGGTTCTCGACCCCGCACAACATGATCTCCTCGACCACCATGATGGATACCGCAAAAAAAAACACCGAGGGGGGGGCTTGTTTTACAACGTCGTTTCCAAGCGACGAAAACCCAACCCCGATGGCAAACACCGGGGGGGGTGGTTGTTGCTGGGGCGGGTTATATTTTCCAGGCAATGGAATGAATGGTGAGATGGATTTTCCCAACCAACGGATTTGTACCTTAGACGAGCGGGTCCTGTGTGCAGGTTGGGGGCTTGCTACTTAATTTGGAAGCATCAGTAGTAACAATGAGTTCACACCGGCAAGAGTCCTGCAAAATAAGCGGCGCGATCCACGGAACCTAACTCAAACATTGGCGGCACGTCCCCGCTTTCCTTGCCTCACACCCTACTCCAGACGACCTACGGCCAACAACGAAGACGGGTGGTCGACCGACCGGCCTTCTCCTCATGAGCCCAATCATAAGGCAAATTGTATCACCGAAACTTTCAGTGAGGGTACCGACGAGGAGGGCGTTTCCGCGCATGGCGGTGTGTCGAAATCGGGGCGTAAAGGGTACAAAGGCCGGGAGGCGGGAGCAACGACGGGGTTGCGCCAGGTGAGGCTCTACCGAGATACACCACAACGGTAGTCTTGGATTACTGGCGGGTTTGCCCAACAGGTTCTACCCGAAGTCATATCGACAGGTTCTGCTCGAACTCCATCGATATTTTTTGACTGGTTGACATTTCAGGCGGGGTGCGAAAACCAAGTGACCAAGCTACGCGACCCCAAAACAAGGAAGGGCTCAGAACATGCTGGACTCGTGTGAAACGTTCCTGTCCACGTGGCCTGTCCCCCTCCTTTTGAACAGTCACCTGTCACGGGTACTGCGAAATCGTCAAGGCCTTGCCCGTCATCCCGATCACCGCTGAGAGGTAGGGCAAGGACATCTCCTAATGCATCTGGGCACCAGGAAAATATCAGCAAGGACCTCTTCAACAGCATTTCGCAGAGCCGAGCAGTTGCCGAAGATGCTGGTGACGCGAGGGCGGGGGGGTGGACACCCGATACCATGTTGTACGTGGGTCGCAGCCGTGTGTCTGGAAGAGGGAAGATTGGTGGGCAGGAGGAGGATTGCGCCGGGGGGGCGGGCCAGGGCAGGCAGAATCTTGCCCTTCATCGAGGGCTGGTGATCACCGAGGAACTGCGGAAAGAGATCTTGAACCCATTGGCACACAGGTTCAAGTTGTTGCGACGGACCCACTGATGTCTTCAGCAGCAATGCGCGCCAGGGGACTGCAGAGGCCCTGCCGCGGTTGAGGAAGAGAGAATTAACGGTTCTCCCGAAGCTAGATATTCCTTCATGAAACGATTTCGTTGTGGAAAGCGGTACCCACGCAAATGTACCAAGTACTTGTCTTCACATGTGTGCCCCCTAGCATTTTCCTGCGGCCACCTTGAGTTCCGTCCGATGAACGAGTCAATGTTTGTCTGGAATTCTGGCTAGCCGCCAACATGACGTACAAAAGCTGGTGTGCTGGTAAGTGCAAAAACGGAACGCTGGGAATGGTAGACTCGTGTTCAAACGATGAATAAAAATCGTTCCTGTGCGCCGTTTTCGCTCACCTGCGCCCTGTGCCCACTTTTTCCATGCCCATCATTGGGTGGAAAATAATTATGAAACACATCCCGTTGATATCGCGAACTTAATACGCAGTGAGGCCCATTGGTTCATTAACGAGGGAAGCAGAAAGTGACCAACGGTGGTCTTCATTCAACCGTAAACGTCAAACTAGGCTTCGTCAATCGTATGCACTGCCAAGGGAGACTACCAACGGCGTCATCCCCCGGAAACACACGTTTCGAACTTCCTTGCGACAAGCTGGAATAACAGGGAACGAAGCGCCAACGCTAGAGCATTATGCCAGGCAGGATGAAAGAAAGACGCGTACTACTTCGGCGGCCATCGAAACGAACCAAGGCTGTCTAAAAAATACAACACATAAATTGCCTTCGTCGCTGAACGGCCACAACCTGTCATTCCTCGACCTCACGACAAAGAAAAAGCAAGTACACACCTCACTGACTCCACTGATGCCTCCTGCAGGCCCGGTGACAGTACTGCACCCTTGCACAGCGTCACCGCGGATGATCGCAGTCAAACACGGGGGAAATGTTGGTCCTCACATCGTCAAGCATAGGCGATGTATTCACTGAGCGAAGGTGCGCTAGTGTTTGACTTGTTGCTGAAATATTGATAAAGTTGCACCGGAAAAAGTGAAAACCAAATTTTGCACACCATGTTGTCTGTTAATTACGCACATGCATTCCCATGAGAATCAACAGAACGAGGTTACCTGGAAAACTCGTCAATCGTACGCAGGAGTGACTCACATACGACACCAGCCGACCGCCAGCGTCGTGTTCAGACAACGGCACGTGCAACCCCACGCGACGGCGTTGATCAAAACGAATGTCACCGAACGGGATTCGCGTCTTCTTTTCAACATTCTCTTGAGCGGTGGGGCTATGGTGCCCCCACACGGACGTCCGAGTGCGTCGGCTCCTTCGGCGCCTTCGCCTTGGATTTCCCGTTCTTGCCTCGTCCTGGTCCTGCTCCTTCAGCACTCCCTCCCTCATCTTGTGCCTCAAGGCTCAGTAGAAAAGCGGCCGTCACCGGGCGGTTCTGCAGGGAAGGTATCGCAGACGGTGCATTGGTGCGCATTGGGGAGGCAGTGATGGCATCACTATTAACCACCGACAACTGACTCTCCACGGCGCTTGCCTTCCAGACCCTGAACGAACATATCGTCCTTCCCGTAGCGTATTGCATTCCTTGGGGTTCAAGCCGGGGCGTGACCCGGCAAAACTCTTGCGCGCGCGCGCGAAAACCATGGCGGAACTGGCGGGAAAGAGTTAAGAGTGAGACTGAACGAGCTCAGCAGCACAAAGTTGTCCGAACCAACCTTGCGCTCAGCCCATTCGAGGGGACTGAAAGGCCCCACCCCGCGAGACACGCCTTTCACGTCAAGTCGAGCGCCCGCTGCGAGGAGAGTCTTGAGGAGAGGGGCATCGCCTCTCCATGCTGGAGCGGGAAGGCAGATGAAAGGGCGGGGGGCAGCGTAATCATGTTCTGCATGTCCTATTTGTTAGACCATTGACCACGCGTCGTCGTGACAACGGGGAAGGGGGCGGCGGCGGTGGTAGGTAGGCGGGCTGAAGACATATTGGAAGTTCGTCCACAATGGGCCGCTTTGTTACAGAGGGGTTACGCGCAACCGGACGCATGGCGTGGTCTCCAGCCATACCACGCTGCAGAGGTGGTCCTCTGAGATTTCACACCGCTACAGTAGTGCTTCGACAAAAATATCGCGGCATGTAAGGCGGTCGGCCTCGCGCCCAACACGAGGCTATTATCCCCTTCCGTATGAGCGGCAAAGTGCCGGAAATACCCTCCACCGAGTGCTGCAAAATGGCCTCGCGGGCTTACCTGTGTTGAGCAAGGGAGTGAAACCGCCGTAGTCGGCGATCTCGGTGTCGGCGCTCATTTGCCACAGGATGAACTCCACGCACTTCCTTCTGCCGCAGCGGACTGCTCGTGGCGAGATAGGGCACGGAACGCCGGAGGAAGACGGTGGCGTTGGTACCATCATCATGGGAAGCATTGGGTGTGTCGAAAGCCAGGAGTATGGGCCCTTGTCCATGACGACTCAAGCTGCGCCTTCGTGCGTTCAACCATCCAACAGCATTCTACTTTGTCACGGAACAACAAAAAAAGAAGTATCGTATGTAGGGGTTTTCCTTGTCAGCGCTCGATACCCCATGCTGGAAATGCTTGGACACCAATACCCAACAAAGCCACCCAAGAGAGAGCCTATTATAGACAGTAGTCCTTCGCATCATTTCCTCTAGGAGACCGATACGGATTCTAGAGATTTCACAGAACGGTAAAAAAAAAACAGTGTTCTGTTGTCTGTCGTCGTTCACTCCGAAGCTCCCAAACACGCGCTTTTTTTAACCGAACGCCCGAGGCGCGAGGAATTAGATCATCGGCCGTCCTGCACTACTTTGGATGCTCTCAGCATATTTCAGGTTGATTGGCGCCTCCTGCGTTAACGTTTGGCTGTGTAGGTGATCGGTTTTCTCAAGCACGAAACACGAGCATGCAGCAGGTGCTTCCGGCACCAAACTGATCCGATCTCGACGAATTCGTGACTAAAAGTTGCCTACCCTCCATCAAGTTGAAGCCTCGTTCAATCACAACAGGATTCACAGCCCGTTCGACGCTGGGATGACTGTGTGTCTAACTATTTAGCCTGCCAACGAGGGGTTCGGGCCACACCGCTGCAACTTCCGACGCGAGAGCATGTTCCGCCGCATTTCGCATGCAAACTTGACAACTTGATGATTGATAGATCTCTATGATTCGTCGGAGCACACAACCAACCATTCATGCATCCATTGTCGTACAATAACTCCAATGTGTGTACTAGTTCCCTACCTGCCAATAATTTCCATTTTTCAACGGAATTCGCCAGGGATTAGCCTGCCAACGAGAGGTTAGGGGCACACCTCTGTCACCTGCACCGCGGAGTGGTGTGTTATTCCACCGCATTTGACGGTTACACTCAGACTTCAATATTTGTGCTGGTCTTTTAAGCGCGCGCGCATAATATGCTTGTTGTCACCGCGTTTGGCGGCCAATCTATACAGCGGCTTAACAATGAGAGCTGCATGTAGATATTGATACTAATGCCAGAAGGTGGGGGACACATAAGTTGTGATTCCTTGGTTGGGTGGTTGCCAGCAGTAATAGCATGCACTCCGTCTTGCATTCGCCTTACACAGGGGTTGTGTTATCTCGTGTAATCTGGTACATCAACAACTTGACATGCTTGATGATTGATGTCTCTCTTTTTTCGTCGTCGGAACACATCCATGCTCATTGTGACTGGTTGGGGATGATTGGTACACCACCAACTTGACAGCAGTGACTGACTGGTGATGGGTGCACAAAGTTTCACGCAAAAAAAGCACTGCCGCCTTCGCGGCTTGCTTGTGTAATAGTTGCCTACCTACCTTTCCATTCCACAGCGGGATTAGCCAGGGATTTAGCCTGCCAACGAGAGGGGCACACCGCTGTCACCTGCACCGTGGCGGCTGTGCTTATTCCGCCGCGTTTGGCGGTTACAGCTACTGGTTCTCTTATGTTTGCCCGCGCACCCGCGCGCGGAAATATGTTTTTGTCGTCGACCACCCCATCCAATCTATGAGTTGTGCACCGGGAGAGTGCGAAAATAGTGATGTCAGGTCGCGTTTGTGTTCAGCGCGTTTCTTTCACGTGATGTTGCAGCATGGGCGTTGCGTATGTTTTTGTTCTGTTGTTTGTCGGTTTGTAGAAAAGACCATTCTGCAGGTCAACTTTGGGAGGACCATTGATACAATAAGTGATAAAAAAACATCATGTATCTGCATTCGTGCACTCCGGCGGGGAGAGAAACATCTCACATGTTCACGCTTTGCTTCATGCCAAACACAGAGAGAGATGACATGTATAGCGTTAGTTCAACTGAAATTGATTCCGCGTTTGCAACGCCAGGAGGAAACGAGATACCACCTGCAAAGCCTATAATCGTAGAGGACCAGCACGGTTGCTCGAGGCAATAGCTACGGCAATATAGACTAGACTAAATATGTTTTCGGATTAACCGCAATATGATCTTCCTCCTTCTCACACCTGCAGCACCTCATACCAAAAAAAACAAAAGCTCCTACAGGACCAGCACGGTTGCCCGAGGCAAGCTGCGATACAATTGGGAATACCGACTATTGGGGCGGAAGTTTCAAGGATATTCAAGTATAGCAAGCAGCCCGATATAGTGGCGTGTTGGGGCAAGAGGAGAATACGCCAGTGTTCAGGGCAGCGCCACTATTCGATATATCGGGTTCATGCACATGTTGAGACCGTGACAGGAGGTTTCGATGCCACAAGATCAGCCTGCTTACTGTAGTACAAGCCTCGAGGGGTTTTACTCACCAGCGAAGTTTAGAAGAGTGTTTCCCTCGAATATTCCGTGCCTGTGATCCACGTTGAACGACCACCTCGCCTTTCCGCTCCACGTGCCCCTCGCTTTGTCTTTGTCAGACTCGGCATTGGTGCGGGCTTTGAGAGTTGCCACTGTTCCAGAAAGGTAGCTGCTCGTTGCAGTCGCCGTGGGAATAAAAAGGCCAAGTTCCCCGCTACTGCTGTTGCTGTTGCTGTTGCTGCTGCTGCTGCCGCTGCTGCTTTCGCAGTTCTCGATCCTCTTGTTTTGGTCGGGCTTCGAGGAGGGGTGGAAAGTTAGACCCCACCTGCGACGCAGCAGAGTGCGCAGCCTCATCACGGAGTCTTTCATGCGGAAGAGGGTGTAGGCCTCCGACAGAGTCGAGTCGTGCTTTAGCCTTCAACAAAGGTTGTCCCACAGAAGAAGCGAACGGTCGGCAGTACAAAGTCGAAGGCATTCGGGAATGGGTCACTTTGAAGGCAGCTTGTCAGTTGGCGTGGGCGACAAATGCCGAATAAAATTACTCACAGGTGCACGCTCCTGCCCGCCACCGCGAACGGTTAAAAAAAATAGGGCAAGACTCCATTCCCTTCCCGGAAAAACTCTAAACCCTAAACGAATTCCATGTGACATACCAAAAGAACAGCAGCGCTGAGCGCAGCGTTCCAGCTGCCGACAGCAACCTCTCGAAAAGTGATCGTAAAACAACCAGCAGTGGGTCATGGTCAGCAGGACGTGTGGCATCTAAAGTTCGAAGCACGCGATTGGCTTATCTCACCTGTCGCTCTTGACTGCCGCGGCGTAAGACTTCAAGAACGTCCGCTTCGCGTTAGCGCCGGATCTTCAGAGAACAGTGGCAAAAAAAAACGCAAGGCGGACGGATGTGGGTAAGAAGGCGTCGTGTCCACACCGGAAGAGACAAAACACTCATCGCCAAGTTCTTTTGACCGAGCCCCAATACTGTAACTTCAGGCAAACAGAACAAGCTCTCAGCTGTTTCAAGTGCAACTGCTACGAGCGACACGTGAACATGATTACGATACCATAAAATCGCACCTTAATACGCGTTTCCCTCTACCTCCACCTGCGGTAGCTCCATTAGAACCGGCCGCTCGTTGGCTAGTCTGAGGCCCTAGGGAGACGGGCATCGTCACTTCAAAGATCTTGCCGAGCGAAGCCCACAGGTTCACCCTTGTTCCATCCAATACCCAATCTCGGCACACCTTGGGTGTAACGATTGTTTGGGTTAGGAAAGGTAGGAGGACTACTTGCCGAAACGCTCCTGAAAATGGAGCAGCCAACGGTCCATTTCCCGTGGTTGTCGATTGGCGTATGCGCTCATTGGCCCAGAACCATGGGGGGGGGGGTGCTCCTTCTACGTATGTACAACATGCTAAGGCTTCTAGCGCGAGCGGAGGTTGACCGCTGTTGTTCTTGTGGGAAGTCCCACCACCAATTAAACAGCGACGTAAACTTCAATAAGGTGTATAAGATCGAACCGAACTCAAGATAACAACGACATTGCCCAGGCCCTTTGCCTATTTGACTCTGGTGCTGCTGCCTGACGCCTGCAGGGGTATACTTGACGCCATGCAGCAACGTCTACTGTACGCATGTACGCATACACAACCGCAATACATGTACTGCGGTAGACTATCCGCGTCCGGTGTATTGAGCCCTACGTACCTTGTTCGCAGAGAGCAAATCGTTGACAGCTAGAAAGGAGAACACAATTGCCAGGGCTCCGTCAGGTATGAACGCCAGGGGTAGGTGACACGTCCCTCTCTCCGCCATGGTGATGAGACAGCTGGAGGGAATAACACGGCTGCCTCCGGTGTTTCGTGTTGGATGGGGAGTTTATATTGGTTCTCGAGGCGCAATCTCGGATCCACATGCGGCTAGTTCTCCTTTGTGCCGTTCGTGCGTATTATTTTACTCCCAGCTCCCAGCGTGTTTTTCAGTGCTCTCTTGGGCAGGAGGTTGGCAGACCAACAATCGACTCCTGCCAAACCTTGCACTGTGGGTAGACAGTAGGCGGTAGGTCGCGCTGAGCGCAAGTACTGGAGCTAGCAGCAGCGGTAAACAAGAGAGTAGAACTGAGAACCCTTTGCCGGTTTTTGATATATTCACCGCATCTTTCTCTATTGTGAACGGGTTTGAGAGAGCCAGGGGGAGAGGGCAAAGCCGCTGGCTAGAGATGGATCAAAGGAAGAGGGCTCCGAGCGGGAGGAGCGAGCCGCCTGAAGCCGGAGGAGGCGAGACCTTTGTTGAAGCACCGGCCCCGACGGTTCCTGTGGAGGTGCTCGACACGGTGTTCGAGGTGGGCCTGATGACAACGACTCTTATCTACCGACAGCAGCCTGATTTCTTCCCGTTCTCTCTTGAAAACAGCGCCGGAATCCCATCGCCGCCGTACGACGAAAAATGTTCAAGACCCTGCGGGCAGCGCTGGCTCCTTGGCAGCGTCCAATGTCACTGCCGTGTTCTCCAAAACTGGTATGGTCGGGCGTGCGTGCGTTGTTGGCGGAGGCTTTGTCTCCCACCTGTCTGTCGGCTGACCCTTATTTCTTTGTAAGGCGGAAGGTTTTGACGGCGGTGTGTTGGTGGGCTATTTTGTTTGGCTCGCAGACACAGCCACAAAAATCTTCAAGCTACACTACAAAATGTAGTCTGCACCTCGTCCTTTTTGTATGCATGTAGGCGGAAAATATGTACTCCCTACTTCGTACCATGGGCAGATCACACATCCTGGCGTAGGATCGCTTTTGCTACATAGCGGAACACGATCGACGCAGCACATGTGTGTATGTGGCGAGCAAAGAGAGAGACAGAAATAGAACCACGACCAAGACCAAACGGAAAGCGTTGTACCTTCTACTTTACATCTTGTGCATGACAACAGGGACGGCGGGATGTGTGCAACTCTTGGCAACAAGTTGTTACTTTTTGGGTAGCACGGCCGTGTGTTCATGCGTGTTCTCCCCTGAAGGACAGCAGTTGAAAGAAACGCACAGAGAGAGAGAGAGACAGCGGATCAGAGTAGCTGAACGTCTTTGTGCGTATTCCGAGTGTCTCAAAAAGTATAACTGCTCGTCGTCGTCGACCACCCAAAGCCCCCGGAGTGATTAATTTGGTTGCAATTTTGGAATTTTGTTCCCGCTCCCGTCTCCGCGTGCACAGAGAGGGCACCACACCAGCCCCGGCACACCCCGAAATGCTAATCTCGCGTGGGTCCGGTTAAACGAAACCACCCCAAGACACGTTTCGACTCTGCCATGGACCTGCCAAGTAACAAAAGGGTCTGCCGAAACAACACTTGTGCCCCAAATCGATGCACGGCCATCACCGGCGGCATATTCAGATGGAGACCACAGCATAGGTAGATATGCGTATCTTCTCACAGGGAATCTTAACTTCCCGCTCTCTGCAAGTATGTATCTGAGGGCAAAGATACCGTCGTTCGAAGTATGTAACGGCGGTGCGATGTTGGATCTATACAGCCGCATGGCAGTCATTCCGTACACGGATCGTTCCGGCCATGAGGTTGATTTCCGGCGCGGGCAAGCACCTCCTAGCAGCTTTTGTACATTCTGTAGGAGGTATTGTACATACTGAAGGCGGTAACAAATGTCGGTGAGATATCCCCCCGCATGTTGAAGTAGCTTCGCTTTGCAGAGCACGCTTGTTCCGTGAGTACACATGAAGGAAACGATTGCTCAACCCTTTCTAGACAATTCAGGCAGCCGAAACACCAAACCGAGGGTGGCACCAACCAAACATGCAGGTAGCCCGTTGAGACTCTGCAAAATCGATGCGCAACGGAACAGCTGCTGAGGGGTGACGTCAAGCTGAGGGGCGACGTGGCGACCATTAAAAAACGTCAAGCGAATTAGTTGCTGGCGTGATTTTCCCCCGGCTCGTGTATGTGAAGGACATGTTGGAAAACAAGAAAATAACACCATTTTGAGTCACGAGGCACGTGGAGCATTGGTTGTTAGCCAGCCCACTGGACCAAAACATGACCGCGGGGTGCTCTTGGTCCAAGCGGCACCCTCCAGCTCTCGAATTCGAGCTTGATCGCGACGAAGCCGCAGCGAACCTGGAGCTTGCTCCCTCGACCGTTTCGTATTATTATCCGGAGTCCGTTAGGTCCTATTTATAGTTGTATCCTGCTGGGTACTAGGCCTTTTCTTCTTTTTGGCTCATCTCTCCACCTTTGTTTTTTTGCCGGCGTTTCAACCTCAACGGTGCCTTCTCAGTTTCTGGACGGGAACGGGCTGCTGTCATGCGAGGCCGTCTCGTACTGCTGGCGGCGTGCCACCGATCGGACACACTTGTGGCAGGTGAGGGGCGGGGCTCACGAAGCAATCCGAGGTTATCTCTTGCTCCCAACAAGGGAGCTCTTTTCTTCCCACTCTCTGCTAAGAAAGTTCCCCTTCGAGTGGCCTTGGTGTTATCTCGAACGGCCAGCCTTTGTTTGGTTTGAATGCATATGTACATTTTCTACAAAATGGGGGGCAAGTGTTAGACGGGAACGGTACCACTCCATGGAAGCGAATCAGCGGGAGACATGGCGTCCTTGGCGTCGTCACACCCCGACCGTACGGTCGGATTGAGGCGGAAACTAATTGAATCTGTGCTCGTCAATAGAGTCCGAGGGCTTGATGTTGGGGAGGGGAGGTTCGACGACTCAAGGCAGCAGGAACTTATTTTTTCCCCACACGTGCGTTTGGGGGATAAGCGTGACTCGTGCGTTATCGCAGACGGGGCGATCGTTACGACTCTGGGAGTGAATGATCTTCTTTCCACAAGAGACTACCATGCCGCCCCCTCCACTGCAGCAAGAAACCCCTTCATGGGGAGAAGTCACGATATCTCCCTTGAGGCTTTTTGTGGCCTTGATGCAAGACTATAAACCCACGTGTCCTCTATATTGTCCGACCTGGTTTGCCTCCCTCCCCCCTCCCAGCGGGCGTGCATGTGTGCTTTCCCCCACCTGCGGGACTACTACTTTAGCCGGTCGCCATACACGTGCTGCAGCGCGTACGAGGGGGACTACAGAGAAACATTCCTCGACGGCAACCGAGGTAACCGCTCCACGGTCTTGGACTGGAACATGGAGGCGGTAACGGGGGGCGCCGCGGACGGGGCTGACGGAATGGAGGGGGGCGACCCCGAACAGGCGAGTGAGGGATGGGCGGTGGTGTGTGTCGCTGTGCTGTGGTGTTGCGTGTTTTTTCTCTGGTGCGCCGTGCTGTGGTGGTGGATTCACGCGGTGCGACCGGCCGCCGCTGCAGGGCGGCACGAAGAAGCGCTCTTGTGTTGCACTTGCGCGTGAAGTCCGCCGACCTCTGATCTTTCGTCTCCCGTGGCGACCACACGCCTCAATCGTTAACACCCTCCGGCTTTGCCCGACGAAAGCCTACATCGTCCCGTACACAACCCCCTGCCCCCTGCCTGTTGTGTTTCCTGCAAGTGTTTGTCTTGTATGTACTCTGGGGTTCCCTCGAAACACGCACAAGGTACGCCCATTGGTGCCACCACAAACCCCTGCTACCCCCCCCCCC